TGATCTTCAATCTCAGATATTACAAGGTTTCTCTTTAGGTTTATGAAATATATATATTGGGTTGTTGGGCTTGAGTTTAGGTTTAGGTTTGTATGGATTTGAGCTTTGGGATATATAGATATAGGTAAGTGAATTATATTTTTCAGGTACCCATTTGGATCTCGGTTCTTACCCGAACCGAACCAATACCCATGGATCTGAAATTCAAGATCCAATCGATATTTTTATTAGAACCAGAACCGAACCATACTCATCAATTTTGGTTCGGTTCGGTTCGGTTCTATGTGGATCCATATTTGTGCCCAGGACTAGATCAAAGTGAGCGGCCCCTCGTCTCTCCATTGAAATCGTGTTTTACTTGTCACAAATCTCAATTATCCCATAGTATTTTCAGTTGCATTTATAATGACGAAAGTGACAACCTAAGGCTAAGCAACATACAACAGACATACTAAAGATTAATGATAAATAGTATTTATTGCTATACCTATTTAGTTGCGTCGGTAGATATATAGGGTGATTCTGAAAATTTTAACCAGTAATGATTAATCAGTGATAAAAAAGATCATTAATAATAAATGAAACTCATGATTTGGGACAAGTCTTTAATACCTAGCTAGTTTTCCTGCCCACATTTGAAAAGTAAAATAAAGATCCTCTTTTGTTTTTTTCAGGTTTGTCTTATTTTTACCAAGACAAATTTGATTTTCTAACACATAATTAGTGTCAGTGTTTTTTGTCAAATGGAACCTAATATGGGATCATTTGGATCGATTGGATAGAACAGTGGATTAAAAAAATGTAAAGTAACACTTTATCAAAAAAAAAAAAAAGTAATTAAAAGTAATACTTATTGGTTGTAGTATAATTATTATTTTAAATTGATATCTAAATACTAATCCACTAGACAGTAATATCAGTGTTTTCTTAGTAAGCGGAATGTGAATCACATTTAGTTTTTGTGTTTCTTTCGATTCTCAAATATTAATTTTTTTTTTGTTTTTTTGTTAGTCCACATAAAATATAATTTTTTACTGTGGATTATTCACTATAACCCCAAACAGTCGTTCATTCCACAAAATTACTACAACCATACTGTAGGTTGTGATTAACAACTTTTTGTTTGTTTAGTTGTATACGTTCAACATGGTGAAATAACCCAACTTTAACAAAAAAAAAAAAAAAAAAAAACATGGTGAAACGGAATTTTTTTTTTTTTTAAAAATAAAATAAAAGAAAATGATGCCACATAATTTTACCATTTTCAATGATTGCATTGTTTCCCAAATTATGGATTGGAACTTTGGTGGCATCGCAATGCGACGTTTGGCCCATGCCCAGCAATAGGTTTAAATCCACGTGGTTGGTAATAGAAAATGGTTTGAAACACCACAAGTTCGACCAGTGATCGATTCGGTAGGGGCCACTGATAACAATATTTTCACCACATGGTACTTTTCGTTTTCGATGAGAAAATATTTAAACAGTTTGTTTGTGAAATTACAATAAACTAGAACAAAATACCTAAACGAGAGAGACCGAGTAATTCGAGAGAGAGTGAGGGTAACTAGAAAGATACTATATATTTTGTATGTAATAATTAATTCATTAATTTTAAAATCAATGATAGGACACTTACTAGCATAGTAGCATGTAGCATTTTTTATCAAGTATATTGTTGAAAAAGGGACTTTTAGTTATTTTGTTTTTTTTTTCCTTTTATTGGAGTTTTCTTCTCACTATTCAAAAACGTAAAACCCTAACAAAAAAAAGTAAAAGTAGAACTGTTTACAAGTCTGGCTGAATGGTTTGATTGAGTCGACAAAAGATTTTCCATGTGGATTAGATCAAATTTTACTATATACCAAAATTGATGTGATTTTTCTTTCGCTCACTAGAAATGTCTTAACTAATAAAAAAATATTGGACATTTTACAGATTTTAATTTCTTGTTGTGTTTCATTTTGAGTTTTGGCTTGATTTTTTTTTTTGTTTTTTTTTTTGTTCAACTGGCTTAAATCTATCTTGGAACACAAGTTTTTTATAGAACAAATAACGTTACGTTAATTTTGTCTGTAAATAGTTTTCTTACTACTTTATTGTCGTTCCATCTCAAGTTTCTTCAGCATATTTCCACCTTATATATGCAGCTATTTTCAATGATTTGTTTATGTGGGTGTTTGGTTTTGAGTTAACTCTGCAAGTTCCGAAGAGGCGTAACTATATATAGAGAATGCCAAGTGAGATTGCGAGATGTGAAATGTGATGGGTTCGCTTGGACTGATATGTGATCAGATGAGAAGAAACGAATATTAATAATTGAGCAAAATTACTTTATTTTAATTTTGAATACAGCGTTAGAGCATCTCCGGGAGATTCTCTCAATATTTGTGATCGGTTCTCTTGTTTATTTGGCAAAAAAATAAATCAAAACAGATATAAAATGAGAGAATCGTCTCTTTTCAGAGAAATTTGGGCAATTGAGAGAGCCGTATACGTGGCGATCTCTGATTGGAGCATCATTTTTAACAAACAAAAAAAAAAGTCTTGTGTTTCATTATTTTTCCTTCTGCAAAAAAAAACAAACCCGATTGTTTCTCTCTCTCGAAGCCGATCGACGCGACGCGGTTATGGTGTGTGGCGAAGACCAACCCGGTTGATTCATCGCTACAGACGGCGATTGAGTGGGATTGTAGATAAAGCGGCGCTGATTGTGGTCCGATTCAACAAGGTGGACCTTGTAACGACCCGACGGATGTTCAGAAAATGGCGTCGTTTGTTTTCAACAATTATTCTCTGAAGAACGGCAAAGAGGACGAGGCTTGCAATTTCAACAATAACGCTGCTCTTACTTCACTCAATCCCAGTAAAAGCTTTCTTCTGAAATCGAAATCTTATATCTGTTAGGGTAGTGGAATCAGGTTTATAATGATGATCTCTTGTTTTAGATTCAGATTTGATACATTTGTGCATCTTGTTGAAGTAATCTTCCCCCATTGTGTGTGTTTTCAGGTCAGGGAACTTGCAAATATCCTTTGAGGTAATCAACTTTAAACTATCTTTGATCAATTTAGATTTATGAAAGATGGTTTGGTGATTTTGTGTTCTTCAATATCAGTTTCCTTAATAAGAGCTAATCTTGTTTTGGTAAGAATGTATTTGGTTCTTAGATTATTCAATACGTGAATGGGATTGTCTTTTTGTCTGGCATTTTGAATTTTTATATTCTATGGAATTTGTAGTGATCTTTCTTTCTTTCAATGAACTTATATGGTTTTGGACAACGAAGCTGTTTAGGATATCTGTTTCTGCACCCTCAAGCTAGCCACTCCAACTTATAAGTCATTTGTTTCATCTAGTTTCGCTTAAAAGAATGAAGGAGGATGAAGGTTTTTTTTGCAGTCATTTGCAACCATATCCTGTTCTTTACGAGAAGTCTGGTAAAGAGGATGAATGTTTTTTTTTTAATCTATAGAACTCTTTTACCTGAATCTTGACATAAGGACTCATGCAAATGTAGTGTGCAAATAGGAGAAGATGGTTGGCCAATTTAGAGTTTCTCAGAAAATATTTTTTTCCTTCAAGTTGTTTCCTGTTAGTATGTTTCTTTAGATTCTTCTGATTTGGATATCAATTGGGTTTGTCATGTATCCACTATTGTTACTCGTTTTTGATAGCTTGGGTTAGAAAACAAAGTTGTTGTGCGGAAGTCGAGAAGAATGGTTGGCCAGCGATAGAAGGGGGGAATGTAAAACCAGTGATTCACAAGTATTTACCATTGTCTCAAGCAGCAGAAGCTCATAGCCTTATGGAGAGTAGTAACCACATTGGTAAGATTCTCTTTGCGACCTAATCCTCTGAAAAGGGAGAAATGTTAAAATCTGGTCGATTGTGTTCATAGATGTACAAGACTTGGAGTTTGTTTTGTTGGCTTTATAAACAAAATTATATTATGACAAAATTAGCTCATGATTTATGACAAAATTACAAAATTATATTGTTATAGTTAAATAACTAAAAATTATTACTAGCTCATGATTTATGACAAAATTATATTGTTATAATTATACATTATTTTGTCATGTATGTTTAATATTTTTATGAATTGTAATAATTATTAAGTTTTATGAAAGAATATTTTTTATAATTTTTTTTTCCTAAGAGAACCTCACAAGAGAACCTACCATTTGACTATGAAAAATTAAAAAAAAAAAACAAAAGTTCTCATCTCAAATTTTCAACAAATTTATAATAAAAAAATTGAGAGAGCTTCATGGAGACAACTCCCCATTGGAGATGCTCTTAGTGTACATACTTACACCCAAAGTGGCAAACAAATAGGACCAATTTTGAAAAAGAATAGATGAAATAAATTTTATTCTATTTTATTCACTAGATAAAAAAAACATGTTTTAGACAGTTATCATTCAATTATTTCACAACGTATAATTTCTTGTTTTTGTAATATGTTATTGTTATGTGAACATATAATATATCAATTTAATATTTTTGACGGTTTTTATTATTTTAGGGAACATTTTTTCTAAATGTATTTTTACGTGGACATCTATTTGATCAACTATTCATCATATATATATATATATGTATGAGTAACTATTATTTTAACATCTATTTTATTATTTAATATGTTAAATATAATATCTATTTACGAAAATACCAAAAAGAATTACGTTATAAATCTATTTAAAGAAATAACGCACAAAAATTTATCCCACATTTAATTTGTCGATACTCTTCTATTGTTTGGTAAGAGCAACTGAGCAACTTATGAAGTTGTCCTTTTTTCCACATTTTTTTTTCATTACCGTTTATCGAATTAACTCTAATAAAACTGATATGATAACTTCTGAAGTTGTCCTGTATTTACGATGTTGATAATTATCTAGTGGCAGAAAATATTCCATAAGTCTCTCTCAAACCATTTGAACAGTTCCAAAAAGGTCCGGTCACTCACACACTCTTGATGAGTTTTTTTTTTTTGGGGGGTCAAAGTACTCTTGATGATGAGTTGATATTCTTATTATTTTAAAATCTTTATTACTTATTTAAGTTATTTCAAAAAGTATATCGACACGAGTGCCAATAGGGCTTATATATATATATATGCTCATAAACATATATAATTATGCATGAGGGAGTAGTAGCTTGCAATGTCTTAAACTTTGATATATCTTGCCCTTGTCACTCTTTAAAAAAAAATTGAATATGAAAACACACAATCAATATTCCACGGTCTACCACAGTTTCTCAGTCAGTTTCATATTCAGATGCATCAGAGTTCTTATCAACAGATCTATCACTCTCTTGCCTTAAATTCGACGACGTTTCTGGTTTTTTGGTTCTTTGCTTATTTTCTTAATTATCTAAAGATTGTATGTAAATTAATTTATATCGAAAGAGAAAAATAAAAATGTCAAGAAAGCCATGTTGTGTGGGAGAAGGGCTGAAGAAAGGAGCATGGACCGCCGAAGAAGACAAGAAACTCATCTCTTACATTCATGAACACGGTGAAGGAGGCTGGCGTGACATCCCCCAAAAAGCTGGTATATATGTGCTTAATTATTATGTGTATATATATATTATACTACCACTTCTTGACGTTCTTGCCACTTTATTATTCGTTTCTTATTTTATTAAACTCAAAAAAAAGTGATATATATCTAATTGGTGTTTTGATGACAAATGATGGTGTTTAGGACTAAAACGATGTGGAAAGAGTTGTAGATTGCGATGGGCTAACTATTTGAAACCTGATATCAAGAGAGGAGGGTTTAGTTACGAGGAGGAACAGATTATCATCATGCTTCACGCCTCTCGCGGCAACAAGTAAAATCCTAGCTTGTCAAAATCGATATTAATAAGTGTATTAATTAACACATTATTAAAGTTTTGATCTATCTTTACTTAAAAGGTGGTCAGTCATAGCGAGACATTTGCCCAAAAGAACGGATAACGAGATTAAGAACTACTGGAACACGCATCTCAAAAAGCGCTTGACCGATAAGGGAATCGATCCCGTGACCCACAAGCCACTTGCCTATGATTCAAACCCGGAAGAGCAATCGCAATCGGCGGGTTCCATCTCTCCAAAGTCTCTTCTTCCTCCAAGTTCCTACAATGTACAGGAGATAAGCAGCAGTGATGAGACACCGAAAAATGATGTTTCCTTGAGCTCCAAGAAACGCTGTTTTAAGAGATCGAGTTCTACATCAAAACTGTTAAACAAAGTGGCAGCTAGGGCTGCTTCCATAGGAAATATCTTAGCAGCCTCCATCGAAGGAACCTTGATCAGCTCTACACCGTTGTCTTCATGTCTCAATCATGACTCTTCCGAAACAAGTCAATTTCAGATGGAAGAATTTGATCAATTCTGTCAGTCATCTGAACACATAATTGATCATATGAAAGAAGACATCAGCATCAACAATTCCGAATATGATTTCTCGCAGTTTCTTGAGCAGTTTAGTAAAAATGAAGGCGAAGAAGCTAACAATATTGGAGGAGGATATAACCAAGATCTGCTTATGTCTGATGTCTCATCAACAAGCGTTGGTGAAGACGACATGATGAAAAACATAACCAGTTGGTCAAATTATCTCCTTGACCATTCCGATTTTAATTATGACAAGAACCAAGATTACGACGACAAGAACTTCATATGATCCGTTGATTGATTACCGGACTAGAGTTGACCGGTTAATGTCATGGTTCTCTTAGATATTTGTCAAGTTATAGTAAAGGTCCATTATAGGGTCACTATATATTAATATTCAATAATGGATTCTCTTAGTTAGAGACCTTATGGTATGCCATGGATCAATTAGTATTTGATTCGCGGGAGACACGAGTTTTTTTTTTTTTTTTTTTCTTTCGTTGTTTATATCTATTTTGATCGTTGTGGATGTCCTTCTGAGAATAAAGTATCACATAAAGCATCCATTTCTTAATAATTCAATTATTATAATAATTCGTCACATATCAATATCAATCATATTTTTTTCCTTATTAAGTGTCGATTAAAACTTTCATTTATGCTTTCACAAAATATAATTTTTTCTTTTCTTTAAAAATGTCGTCATTTTCTATTTTTAATGTAAAATCTTAAACAACAAAAATAATTTAATTTTTTTCTACGAAGTCATTTCAATTTATCGAGCATTTGATGAAAAATTATAATAAATGTGGTGCCAAAAGTATATATATATATATATATATATATATATTAATTTTTCCCGAATATTTTTTTGACAAATTTGATAAAACCAATTGTTAGGCAAATACGGCTTTTTTTGATAATTTCTTCGCATGTACCTGCAGTAATATTCAAATAATGCCATTTAATTTTACTTGTTCCATGAACTAATTTTCTATATTTCGTATACGCGAAAAGAGTTTGGCTCTCAATTTCGACGTTCTCTGCCCTATATTGTCCAACCAGGGATATAAATCAAATTGACCGGTTAAAAAAAACATTAGTCCAATTCGAACATGCCAAAATAGAGAATTTTCCTATGAATATATTAAATAAGACGATATTATTTTAGTGAGATGTGGCAATATATATATATATATATATATATATATATATATATATATATATATATATAATATCATATATTCATATGTACCACTGATGTTTATGCATTCAGAAGTAAAAATATCCACCGATCAAATGCAACTTCTTGGAAGACTAAAAGCTATATTCATAATATTTTATTTTGTGGTAAATATTCATATATATATAGTATATTGATATTGTTTCAAATTTACATATAAAGTTCCGTGATCTTTCGTAATCGTTCGTTGGACAGACCGCACCATGATTTTCTTTTTACCAATAAATAAATAAAACAAACGAGAAAAAAAAACGTTGTTCCCAGTTTGTGTATATTTTATAGTCCACAAATCGTTAATCATATATGTACTCATAAGCTAAGAGCAAATGAAGAAATATAATTGAATTTGTGACCCGAAGAATCTTGTGTGCATCAAAACCAATTTAATAAACATTCAATGATATCATCATATGTGCAGGGTCGGCTCAATTAATTTAGAGTCCATGTACAAATCTTAAAAATTGACCATTTTTTCATAGAAATTTTTTTTTTGGCCTTTTTTATGTTAAAAAAATCTTTAAAATTGGTCTTTTTTATACTAAAAATATATATTTGGGCCTTTTACATACTAAAATTACCTTAAAATCTTAAAAGTTATCATTTTTTCTTTTTTTTTTTAAAAAATTGGGACCTTAAATTTACCCAAAAAAAAATTTGGCCCTGATACATTTGCTCCTCTTGCACCCCCTCAACGCTGGCCCTGCATATGTGATACGAGTGCTTTGGATAATGAGATCATTGAATGTTTTTATTTTTATGTTATCCAATTAGAATAAGTAGACCATAATTGGTTGTTTTTAGATATCAATACGATAACATGTTAAAATGTGAAAATAATTTAGATCAGATCATAGATACATAATACCTTAATTAATGACGCAATAAAAAAGTGGATAGAGCCTAGAGGGACAAGGCTGTGACATTGTATATGGGAAGGAAGACAGACAAAGAAGCCCAAAAACGTGCACCGTCCAAGAGTCTGGCTACTATACCTAACTTCCTTCCTGCAGGGACTTGACAAATATCACTATCTGCCATTTTTATTGCTGGTGAATTGTAAATAATGCAGCAAAGAATTGATAATAATTCATAAATTTCTTTCACAAACGGTAAGCGATATTTAGTTTTTTTTTTCTTCTTTAAGATAATAATATATAGAAAACCTGTCTACTAAAAACCACTACACTAGCGGATAAGCTTAACATGCCTATTTACTTAGTTTACGTGGATTTAAAAGTATACTGTCACGAGTGCATGAGACTTACCGAGCTATAGTCTATATGAAGAGGTAGATCGTACGTGTACAAATGACTTCCGTAGATCTTTGATCTTTTTTTTTCCTTCTTTTTTGGTAATATTCTTCAGTTTTATTTGATCTATTGTCGTTGTAATGATCTTGATTAGAAAGGGAAAAAAGCTTAGACCCTTGACCAAAAAATATAATAACCGTATTCGTAATCTCTATATCCTACATTAAGTACTACAGTATTTCTGAATTCTGATTTTCGTTTCTTATACGCACGTACGTTTGTTCTAGATATAACTAAGAAAATGTCAAAGAGACTATGTTGTATCGGAGAAGGATTGAAGAAAGGAGCATGGACTATAGAAGAGGATAAGAAACTCATCTCTTATATCCACGACCACGGTGAAGGAGGCTGGCGTGACATTCCAGAAAAAGCTGGTACATAACTATATATAGACGCATTTTTGTCTCTGTTTTTTTCTTTTTGTCACGAATTACAATTTGTGTCTAATATGTATTATTTATAGTCTAATTGATATTTTCATGGCTTTTCGAGTTTAGGGCTGAAACGGTGTGGAAAGAGTTGTAGATTAAGGTGGACTAACTATTTGAAACCAGATATCAAGAGAGGAGAGTTTAGCTATGAGGAAGAGCAGATTATCATCATGCTTCATGCCTCTCGTGGCAATAAGTACGTATAGCATTTCTCTAGGCTTGTTTGTGCTTATATCAGTTTAACTAAGACATGATCATCAATGTTTTGATATGTACCTATTTTTGTTATTTATCAGGTGGTCCACCATAGCAAGACATTTGCCAAAAAGAACGGATAACGAGGTCAAGAACTATTGGAACACACATCTCAAGAAACGTTTGATCGATAATGGCATTGATCCCGTGACACACAAGCCACTAGATTCTTCTAACCCTGGTTCGGCCGTGCCCAAAAAGTTTGATTGCCAAGATAAATCCATTCCGGATGAGCACTCGGTACAATGGAGTTCTACCACTCCAGCATCTCTTCCCCTTTCTTCGACTTTTAACAGTGTTAAACCCAAAATTAGCAGTGGTGAGACGCAGATAGAAAGTGGTTTCTTGAGGTGCAAGAAACGTTTTGAACGATCGAGTTCTACATCAAGGCTCTTAAACAAAGTTGCAGCTAGAGCTTCTTCCATCGGAAACATCTTATCAACCTCCATAGAAGGAACCTTGAGTTCTCCTGCGTCGTCTTCATGTCTCCCAGACTCATTCTCTCAATCATCTGAACACATGATCGATAACAAGGAAGATCTCAGTACGAGCATTGATATCAACATCCCCGAGTATGATTTTCCACAGTTTCTTGAGCAATTCATTAACGATGACGACGAAGCCGAGAACACTGGTGGGTCCAACCAAGATCTCCTTATGTCCGATGTCCCATCAACATTCGTTGATGAAGACGATATAATTGGAGACATAACCAGTTGGTCAACTTATCTTCTTGACCATCCCAATTTTATGTATAAATCGGATCAAGATTCCGAGGAGAAGAACTTCTTATGATTTGTCTATGGCTTGTCAATTTCCCAATGTTGATATGCCCAAGATTATGATTAGGGTTTTCTCTTAGATATATATCAAGTTGTTAAACTGTGCTAGGTATCATTCAGTAAGGGCTTCTTTGAATTGGATAACCAGATCATCCCGTGGATCGATTAGTATTTGATTTTCGCGAGAGTTTATATTTTTGTAACTCTTTTGTAAAATAAATTTAAATAAAATAAGCTTTATCTATATAGTCTTTTTATGGATAGTTTCAGGTCCACAAACACTATAATAACTCAAAAAGTAAAGAGCAATGAGTGGCAACAAAATTGGATCTGTGACCCGGCAAAATTGATCCGCTAACAAAAACGAATCTTCAAAAATGTTCACTGATATATGTGTATGTGTGTGTGTGTGAGAGAGAGAGAGATATGACTTATGAGAGCTTTTGTTTTTTATGTGTGGCTACACATGAATGATTTAATTTTCGTAATTGTGTGAAAATGAAAGTTGTATTTTTTTTATGTCGGCCGATTAAAAACCCCAAATTCGAAACAGAGTTTTGAACCAAAAATAGACATACAATACTCCTTCACGATCAAATAAAACCAAAAGAAACGTAGCTATTAATTACAAGTACTCTCTCAAGATCAAATAATCTGCATAGCCAAAATAGGCTACATACATGTAGCCACATATGACTGCAATCACGAATCACACGTTGAGCTATCTCAAAAAGCTATCTTCTTCAAATTCGATGAAGGTCGTCAAGGGTTGTAATTGAAAGTTTATGAATGGATTAAATGAAATAGACCTTTATTATGTATTTCGTTTCCTTCTAATAGAATTTCCTATGTGCACTCAATTAAAATTGACCTAAGATTCTTTTCATATTTTAAAATAGGTTTCATTAAAAAACAAATCCATTGATAAAGATCAAACCAAACTACATACTGCCAAAAACTTTAAACGTGGATATATTTTATATGTTCCTCAAAGTAGAGATTTTATAAAGTAGTATTATAAATTGGAAAATAGATGAAAAAACTTACTTTCTGATAAAAACATTTCTTCAGAATCAATAAATAAAAAATGTAAAACTGAATTATTGCAATATTTCGTTAAATCATTAGTAAGTGAATATTGTAGTGGTCCAAAGTGCATCTAATTAACTGCTATTAATAGTTCTAACTAACATACGATTTTTTTTTTTTTTTCTGTTTCCAGTTGAATTTTCGGGTCCAAAACACATTTCTGGTTTTTAAACGAAACAAAAAAAAAAACACACATTTCTGTAATTCTGTTTAAACTTAAAGTAACCCTAATTGGGCCGTCAAGAACATAAACAATGCTGTCAAAGAAACAAAAAAAGTAACCCTAATTGGGCTGTCAAGGACATAAAAGCCCGTGTAGTGGTTTCCACTTCTTCTTCTTCTTCTTCTATTTGGGCTAACGTTATCGTAAAGTTTTAGTTTTGATATTGCAAAAATAAAACAACTAAATTTAGTACTTAATAAATCAATAATCTCAGACAACCTCGGAACAAGGATAATATCACCAGGTTACGTACACGGTACAACTAACAAACACATGCAAACGAAGCAAGGAATCAACAATTGGAATCTGTGAATTCTGATTATTATGAATCTGAATAGAGAATCCAAGGAACAACCTACCCAGAAAGATAAACCCTAAAGTAATTGATGTTTTTCACTTTGCCTGTAGAATTGGACAAAGTAACTTTGATCTTTATATAATCCCTCGATGTTCCCTCAAAATTTCCGACCAAATTTCGAAACTTTTCACATTTACCAATTGATTGAACCCGACCCGTTATTCAATGGATCCGGAGGATAGGTCCGAGATTGCCTTCTTCGACGTTGAGACGACTGTACCAAACAGAGGTCAACGTTTCGCGATTCTAGAATTCGGGTCAATCCTTGTTTGCCCGAAGAAGCTTACGGAGCTCCGAAGCTATACGACTCTGGTCCAACCTGCAGATTTGAGTCTCATATCTTCCTTGTCCGTCAGGTGCAATGGCATCAAGCGTGACGACGTCGTTTTGGCACCTTTGTTTGCCGACATCGCTGATACTGTCTACGACATTCTCCATGGTTAGAACCCTTTCTACTTTTGCGTTTTGTGTAACTCTGTTTCGTGTCTGTTTTGAATTAGAAAGAAAAGTTTTGTACTTTACTGAATTTTGAGTTCTTGGTTGAATCATATTACCAAGATTCAAGCTTTATGTTATGTTGTGTTTTGATGTTGGGGGATGTTGTTATTGCAGGGAGGATTTGGGCAGGTCACAACATATTGAGGTTTGATTGTGCAAGGATCAGAGAAGCATTTGCAGAGATTGGACGTCAACCACCCGAGCCAAAAGGCGCCATCGACTCATTGGGTTTGCTAACTCAGCAGTTTGGTAGAAGAGCTGGTGATATGAAGGTACAAGGAAACATTTCGAAAATGTTGATATTTTCCACGAGATCAGAATGTTAAATCATGGAATTCTATCTCTTTGATTGAGTTTTAAGGTGATTTTTTAGGTGTCTTATCATTCCTGTGTGCTTTGTTTCTGCAGATGGCAACTTTGGCTAGATATTTCGGACTTGGGAATCAGACGCATAGGTATATAAAACTCATTAAGAATCTGATTCTTTACCTCAAAACTATCAAAAGTTGGAGTGCTTTAATTCTTTGTTTCTCTTCAGGAGCCTGGATGATGTTAGAATGAATCTTGAGGTTCTCAAATATTGTGCTACTGTCTTGTTCTTGGTATGTTCTCTTAAGTCACTTTATAAATTGAGAACCTTTGTCTCCTACTAGCTGTGTTTTAAAAACTGGACTTATTAGAGGCAATGCTTTTACTATTCGCAGGAGTCGAGTCTCCCCTATGCACATGTAGATCATTCGGTATCTCCTGGAACTACTAGTTCAAGGAGACGTATTGATGCATCTCACGAGGGTAATACTGTAACAACCTCTGTTAGGCTACCATCCATTAGCGAGAACAGTGCAGCTCAGCCAGATCCGTTCAACATGAGCATCTTGAGGAATGAAATGGCTTCCGACAACCACCTTCAATCAGACATTCTCATGGAAGAAGAACAAATTCAACCCTCTGATATTGTTGTCCCTGAGAATACCAGTGACCATGAGGGATTCTTGGCTCCTGATGCGGTGTCTCTTCCAAACATCAAAGCGATTCTTGTCCCGTTTTATCCTGGAAGCGAAATGATGAAACTAAAGCTACTTCACGGTGATTCCCCTCTGCAGCTCTACTGTTCTTGTCTGAAAGTACGGTTTGGAGTCAGTGGGAAGTTTCTGGATAACACCGGGAGACGGAAGTTAAACTTTGTGGTTGATCTGAATCTAAGCCTGTGCAGTATACTCGAAGCATGTGACAGTAGTGCACAGAAACTATCTGTTGATTCAGGTTCCACTTCTGGCTGGAACCCGGTCGTGAATCCAATGAAGGGTTTTGTAAACTACCCTAACGCAAGGATACAGTAAGTTACCTAACTATACTCTCCCTTTCTGGTTCCATGTTCTTCAAACAAAATTATGGTTTCTTGCTTGCTTGCTTTACGTTTCTTCTGATTAGTTTCTTGGTTTTCTGCAGTATTGCGACAGAGATAAATGGAGATGCAGCTCGATATGCAACAGAGATACACCAGAGAGAGTCCTCTGGAGCTAGTCAGAAACTAATCTTCAGCAACCCGAGTGGTGAGGAGCTCGAATCGTTGCTGACCATGGGGAGTGTTGTTGATGCATTCTTGTCTCTGGAACCGTATGATTATCAGCAGAAAGCTGGAATCCGCCTTGTTGCCAAAAAACTAGTCATACACTCGTAAATCATACATAATTGTTAATACCAAAAAAGTAAGAAAATGGAGCTTAGTAGATGTACAAACACACACACACACACACACAGTTTGATCAATGAGCCATTGTTTGTTGTTGTCTAGTTGTTTTGTCTGTGAAGCGAAGAGAGGAAGCGGACAATTAACAACTTTACAGAGATCAAGATGTGGACTTTGATTCTGATACGGATTCGCATTCAATTTATTGCACCATAAATACTTTAGCAAATAAAAAGTTTCAAATAATTGCAATCCAGATTTGTAGAATGGTTTTATGTGTATCACTCTGTGCAAGAATGCAGAATTGCAATCTTGAATTCTCGAGTAATCGACTAACGAGAAATGCTTTATGATCTGGAACATAAATAGAAACCTCTTTAATCTCTTAAGACACAAGATTGCATAATTATTATTTTTATAAAAAAGATGATATTAAAAACATTAGTAATGGTTTTGCTAAAGTATTTATGGTGCAATAAATTGAATGCGAATCCGAATCCGAATCAATGTCTGAATCTTGATCTCTGTAAAGTTGTTAATTGTCCGCTTCCTCTCTTCGTTACCTCACAGACAAAACAAGTAGACAACAACAAACAATGGCTCATTGATCAAACTGTTTTACGAAGTACAACAAAAATGGCAAAGGAGGACGGTTTCAGGACTCAGAAGCGCGTATCAAGCGCTTCCTCCGCCGCCGCCGGCGTTCTTCCGACGACGATGGCGAGTGGCGCAGGAAGGAGACCACCACCACGTGGCAGACAGATCCAGAAAACGTTCAACAACGTAAAAATGACAATCCTTTGTGGCTTCGTCACCATTCTCGTCTTACGTGGCACTATCGGCGTTAACTTCGGAACTTCTGACGCCGACGTCGTTAACCAGAACATAATCGAAGAGACTAACCGACTTCTAGCTGAGATCCGATCCGATTCGGATCTTTCAGACTCAAACGAGCCACCTGATTCGGATCTTGATCTCAACATGACGTACACTCTCGGACCCAAGATCACTAACTGGGATCAACAACGGAAACTTTGGTTAACGCAAAACCCAGATTTCCCCAGTTTTGTCAATGGTAAAGCTAAGGTTTTGCTTTTAACAGGTTCGCCTCCAAAACCTTGTGACAATCCGATTGGTGATCATTACCTATTGAAATCGGTGAAGAACAAGATTGATTATTGTAGGATTCATGGAATTGAGATTGTGTATAACATGGCTCATTTGGACAAGGAGCTTGCTGGGTATTGGGCAAAGCTTCCAATGATCAGGAGATTGATGTTGTCTCACCCTGAAATTGAATGGATTTGGTGGATGGACAGTGATGCTTTGTTCACTGACATGGTGTTTGAGATTCCTTTGTCTAGATATGAGAATCATAACTTGGTTATCCATGGATATCCGGATTTGTTGTTTGATCAGAAGTCGTGGATTGCTTTGAATACTGGTAGCTTCTTGTTTAGGAACTGTCAATGGTCTTTGGATTTGTTGGATGCTTGGGCTCCAATGGGACCGAAAGGACCGATTCGGGAAGAAGCCGGGAAGATTCTCACTGCGAATCTTAAAGGAAGACCGGCGTTCGAAGCTGATGATCAGTCTGCATTGATCTATCTGTTGCTTTCGCAGAAGGAGACGTGGATGGAGAAAGTCTTTGTGGAGAACCAGTACTATCTTCATGGGTTTTGGGAAGGATTAGTGGATAGGTATGAGGAGATGATAGAGAAGTATCATCCGGGATTGGGAGACGAAAGATGGCCATTTATTACTCACTTTGTTGGATGTAAACCGTGTGGAAGTTATGCGGATTACGCGGTTGAACGTTGCTTAAAGAGTATGGAGCGAGCATTCAACTTCGCGGATAATCAAGTGCTCAAGCTTTATGGGTTTGGTCACAGGGGATTGTTAAGCCCTAAGATCAAGAGGATCAGGAACGAAACAACATTTCCACTGAAATTTGTCAACAGGTTTGATATTCGGAGAACAACACCGCTCAAGATTGAAGCGCGGAGCTAGCAGCCGATGAACCAGTTTGGTAAAGCACAATCAGTTCCTACTTAGTTGAACAAAATTCTACATTGTTTCAAAGCTCACTTCTTTTACTTTTTGTTATATTTTTACCCTATATATAAAGTCAATAGATTCTTTTGTTAAAACTTGAACAGAGGATGAATTATCAATTTGTTCAAGTACCTTTCACTGCAAAGATCTGTTCTTGCAGAACCCTGAAGGATGAAGTAACTCTGACTCGTAAAACTGGGGAAGTTTTCTACATCTTTTCTCATTTGAGAGATTAAAACGTAAGAATTTTACAGAAAGAGAGAGACTTGCGAAATAATATAAACATGAAACAAAAGAATCAATAAGCTAAAAAGGTTTGAATCTGTGATGGATCAGCTTCTTGATACAACGTCCTTATGGTGCTTTAACAGTAACTCATTCATTTGAGCAATCTGATGCAAGAGCTGAACTATCCTCTGTTGCAAAATCAGAAAACAATAGATGTAAGTAAACCATGTGAAAAACTGAGGTAATGTCACGTCTCTTAGACATTTCATCAAACACTTGGTATGCACAAAAACATACCTCGTCTCTCTGTTTGATCACATCTCGAAGATGATCCATGGTGTCTCCTTTAACACGTTTACGTCGAGCACGTACACGCATCCACCACCAAATCGCAATGGCAAGAACTGGATAAAATGATCGGATAGTCTTTGAGAACCATGTCAACAAATTCTTCAACTTGGAGTATAAACGTACAAGAAGAAGCTCCCACCAATCGTGGAGGACATCAACTTCACGATTCAATGGTTTCCTCTGTAATTTCCCGTCTGAATCGCACGGTGGAGGTTTGTCGCCTTGTTCAGACGGTAATAATCGCGGAGAAGATATCTGTTCAAATGGCCATTGTTCGTCTGAATCCGACGGTGGAGATTCGCCGCTTAGCAACAACGGCGGAGATTTTTCTTCAGTTTCCGACGGAGACTTCCGGTCGAATTCAAACGCAGTCGGTGACGTTTGTCCATCTGAATCAGAAGGGAACAACGAAAAAGAAGAAGATGAACCAGAGCGTCTCGACGAAGATGACGGAGACGAGGATTCCGACGGAGATTCGAGATACCTATCGACTCCATAGACGGAAGAAGCGACATGGAGATTCTCATGGTAGATCGGCGGGAAAACAAGGTTATCGTCTTTAGCGAAAATTGGAGATTCTCTGATGACAACCATTGACGAAGTGGGATCTAAAGGACCAATCAGCTGTTGTTCACAGTACAGATCTTCATCTTCAGCCATCTTCAGTTTAAGAAATTATCTCGCTAGGGTTTGCTTATGAGAAAGAAAGAAACAGTGGAGGAGGAAGAAGAAGACAATCCATGAAAGTTTCAAACTTGTTGGATCCAACAAGAACACGTGATTGTTGCTTTTAGCTGATTCGTTTAAGAAACTTTGGTCATACACACGTGCCGTCTCATTTTCTCGCGCAATTTTTTGTGCGTGTGCATTTTTTTTTTATTGTATAGTTTGATTTAATTTATTATAACTACGAAGATTTTTTTTATTTTTTTTCCATTGGTCTGAATTCTAAAAAGAACATTGATGTTAAGGAGGTATACAAAGTTACACACTAAATAGACAAAATGATCTACATCTCTCACTCTCTCTCGCTCTACCTGAAACCTATACAACATTTCAATCTATCAAAAATTCCTCTAATCAGGAAAAATATAAAACAGGAAAGAATTCTAATTTACAAGTTAGAATTAAATCAATGTGGAGTCAACTATGTTAACGTGACTGGAGAAAAGATCTGTCTCTTTATCTTCCCATGGTTCCTCGATAGCCCCCGCCCAGGCGAAACCACTCCTCATAGGACCCAAGCCTGTTTTTAACTGCACGAAGCATCCAATGCCGCTTTGCGGAAAGGTTTACTTGAACAGAAACAGCACCACCGCCTCTTTGCTGGCTTACAAGACCAGCTCGGTTCTCTTGAGAGATTAAGGCGGATTTTGCAAAATAATATGTAAGCTTTTCGTCAGCTATCATCAACTGGTTTTTTTGTGAGACTGACTCCTTTTGCCTTCTCCATTTCCGCTTCCTTAAGAGCTTTCTTCTTCTCCAGCTCTGCTTGCTTCACGTTCTCTTCGTGTGCTTTCTTAAACAACCTTATAAAATTCAAGAGGGTTGCAGTAACTGCAGCAGTCCATGACCCGGTATTATTATTAGCTACACAACAGTTCCAACTAAATAACGAATAGGGACTTTTTTCTTTCAATGTATTGCCCAATAGGATTGAAGTTTATATATTCCACGCCATACCTTGTTCAAATGGACAACGGTTAGGATCCTCGCCAAAATAGTGCGCAAGTGCATCAGCATTTCTACCCTGTCATCAAACATAAGAAACAAAACAAAAAACATTTCAGGATCAAACACATTGTCAAGGTAAGGCGCTTGGCATCTAGTAGAGGTTGACAAATTACCACGACGGAGTAAAGACTCGATACAGTTGCCACTTCAGTCTCAGCAATGGATATGAAGTCCCCCAATGTCTGTTATCAAAGCATAAAAGTAGGTTTTAGGATCCGGAAGAAGTTAAGTCTAAAAACAAATCCCAGCTGAAGAATTATTTTCCAGCGGGTTATTGATGATTTCCACAAAATAATATAGATTTAGTAATGTGGCACAATCATGGAACTAATCTCAATTTTTTGATTGATAAAATATGCAAAATGAAAATTAAAAAAGACCAACATACTTTACGGAAAACTTCAGAAACAGGACCATCACTTTCAGATGCAGTGAGTTCCTGGTTCAGTTTTTCCAATCCTTTGATTATAGCTTGCATTTCCTCAGCCAGAGACTTCAATTGTATCTGCAATAGACAGGACAATCAAATGGTGAGCCAATAGAAACTAAGGAGTAGAGGACGAAAAAAGCACAACTGCAAACCTTCGAGGCTGATTCAAGACTTTCAAGATCCTTGGGGAAGTCCAGTAGAACTGATGCCTTTGAAGCAAGGACCTGGAAAAAGAAAAATGAGAGTTTTAGGATTATGTATCCTTCCTGAGCCATACCAATTTTACAAACCAACCCTCGTCGGAAACTAGATCCTGCTCTTTTCGAGTATAGTTTACCTTGCAAAGATAATGCATGAGAGTCATCTTGCTGTTAGCAGCACGTGTATCACTTAGTTTCAATAAACTGTCCAACTTGAATCCAACAGCAGCGCCTGCAGAAAGCAGAGCAATGATCATATCAACCACAACAGATTTTTGTACAGACAAAACAACAAGTAGCAATGAAACAAAGGCACCGAATCAAGCCCATATTGAACAGAGAAATTTATTTGCATTAGGGTCTTGTGCAAAAAGATGTAGACAAGAATAATATAATACTTACCCCTTGCAGTTCCTTGGTTCAATGTGTTCCCCAGGTAAAGAATCTTTTTCATAATTTCTTTTAGCTTTTGCGAATTACGGACCTGATGAACAAGCAATAAGCAGATAATTCTTACAAAAAGAAATGCATATGGACTGCACAAAAAAAAATTGAGTTAATTATCGCAAGTATCTTACCTCCTCACATGCAGAATTTACTGCATTTAAACTTTTTTTGAATTCTGTTATCTGCACATAAAAATATCATTATCTATAGGACCAATAATCTACAGTTACTCAGACACTGGTGAAACTGAAACTTTGTCCTCCAAAGAATAAAATAAACAGAAAATAACAGTATAAGTAATACCACCAGACCTGAGTGCCGAATTGAATTTTGAAAGAAAATACTCTAAGCTTTGCCTCCACTCGTGGCACCTTCATTACCTCTAGGAAGTACTGCAATAACAAAATGGATGAATGTATTAACTCAGTAAGCTAATTGCTAACCATTTTACACTAGAAACCAAAAAACAGTGAGAGATTGGTAATCTTAAGACATAAACAGACCTGCTCACACTTTCCCAAGGTCGCCTTGTCACCAGTGTAGTTCTACACAAAACCAGACAATTACGACCAAGAACAAGGACTCATGTCAGTAACAAGTGAATAATGATAACCAGAATTCACATACTTCACAAATGATCCCCAAAGTAAAGACAGAAATAGATAATGCAACTCAAAAGTAAAGATGTAACCTTAAGAAGCTCCATCTCCTCCTTGGTTGGACAAAATTTTATAAGATTCTCTATTTGATCAACATCTAGTACAGACTCATCCATTGCCAGAACTGCAGCCTGGACGATGCAAAGAAAGATCTGAATAATTATCATTAAACTATGAAAGTAGTTGACTTTTACTCAGGTAAGTAGGTACCGGAGCTTACCATCATATCAGGCAGCGGCATCTTTACTTTAGTAAGCATTATTTCCGTGTTATTGGCTCTCCTAAGATCAATCTGGAAAACCATAAGAAAAACAATGCTTCAAAAGGAGTCGAATTGAATCACAAAAGTATACAGACATGCAATAGGCTACAGAGTAGAAGAAATTCCAGGGAAAAGAGATGCGGCAGAGTAGCTTATAGAGGCGAAAAGAGCAATTTAAAATATAATAACAAGTGTTGAAAACATTTCACATTACCAGTTGAACTTTTTCAGGTTTTGCCCCAACAGACTTTCGACGACTTCCAGATTTATCAGCCGGCTTTTGCACTGTAGCAGAGAAAAGGGTCTCTATTTCTGATACATCAAATTCTGGTGCACTAGCAGAAAAGAAAGAAACATATGATTAATTGCAAAACAATAGTCAATAAAACCCCAATAGCACCTAATTAGTTTCTTGGATAAACAAATGTGCAAGAGGGGAACTTAGAAGAAAGAGGAAAGCAAAGATAAAGTTAGTCCAATACGTTTGTGATTCTCCATGTCTCTGTAACTCATCCCATAAGCTCCCTTGCAAGGCCCTTGTTACTTTAACCCAGTGTAATGGCTTCAGGGAAGACTTTTTCTGAGCTGCAGACCCAAGACCTGGACGTGGAAGACCACGCCCTCTTCCTGCACCCCTAGGATCAACTGCAGCTCCTCTGGCACCAAGCATTGGAGGTGGAGGAGGTCCACCACCCGGAGGTCTTGGTCCAGGAGGTGGAGGTGGACCAGGAGCACGACCACCAGGAGGTGGTGGAGGTGGCGGTGCGCCAGGCCCTCTACTACCAGGAGGCGGAGGTGGTGGTGGGGCTCCTCCATGCATCGGGGGAGGTGGTGGCGGTGGAGCTCCTCCACGCATCGGGGGAGGCGGTGGAGGTGGTGTTCCATACATCGGAGGTGGAGGTGGAGGTGGAGCACCCATTGGTGGCGGTGGAGGCGGAGGTCCACCAGATCTAAACGGAGGTGGTGGTGGTGGTGGAGGTCCACTAGCTCTAAATGGAGGTGGTGGAGGAGGAGGAGGTGAAGTTTTACCAAAAGGAGGGGGTGGTGGAGGAGGAGGGGAACCATGACCTGGTGGCGGAGGAGGAGGTGGAGGAATTGAGCGTACATGACTGAAAGGAGGAGGTGGAGGTGGTGGTGGGGATCCATAACTCAGTGGAGGAGGCGGCGGTGGGGGTGGAGATCCATAACTCGGTGGAGGAGGGGGAGGTGGGGGTGGAGATCCATAACTTGGTGGAGGAGGGGGAGGGGGAGGCACTGAATATGCATTACTAAAAGGAGGAGGTGGAGGTGGTGGTGGAGCTGTTTTACTAGGTGGAAGAGGTGGAGATCCATAACTTGGTGGAGAAGGGGGAGGGGGAGGTACTGAATATGCATTACTAAAAGGTGGAGGTGATGGTGGAGCTGTTTTACTAGGTGGAAGAGGTGGAGATGGAGAAGTGGAAAAACCATTAATAGGAAGGATCTTGAGTGCTGGTGTAGGTGCAACACTCGTATAAGGCAGAGGAGGTGGAGGGGGGATGTGATCTCCATTTGCTTTTGTTGTATTTAATGAGCTAAAAGGAGGAGGAGGTGGTGGTGGTGGGGAAGAAGATGTAGAGCACGCCTCATGAGTATCAAAAGACAAAGCATACACAGACTTCCAAGGTGGTGGAGGTGGTGCTGGAGGCAACAAAGTTTCACTGTTTCGCCTCACAGATGCAAACGGAGGTGGTGGAGGAGGAGGCGGTGGCGATGGTAGCTGAGATGTTTGAGAGTCACTGCTCTTTTGACCGACTGAATAGTATGCAGGCGGAGGTGGTGGTGGAGGTGGTGAAGAGGTAGGAAGTTGAGAAGGAGAACATATTGCAGGAGTCGCCAAAGCTGACACATACACAGACTTCCAAGGTGGAGATAGTGGTGAAGGAGGCAACACAGTTCCACTGTTTGGTCTCTCAGATGAAAAAGGAAGAGGTGGCTGTGGTGGTGGTGGTGGAGGCAACACAGTTCCACTGTTTGGTCTCTCAGATGAAAAAGGAGGAGGTGGCGGCGGTGGTGGTCGTGGGAGCTGAGATGTTTGATAGTGGCTGTAAGTAGGTAATGGCGGTGGTGGCGGAGGAGGAGGTGGCGATGCAACTGCTTGTGAAGAGTGTAAAACGGATGTGGCCTCACTGGTTAGAGAAGGCAGGGGTGGAGGAGCCTGATGAGGAGACGCAGCAGGTAGAGAAGACGGCTTTTCCTTCGGGCTAGAATCTGGTGATGAACAAATTGGAGCTCGACTCCTCATATCCGGTGAAGAAACAGACGCTCTCAGATATTTAGTCTTAGCATCCTTTGGAATCACACCATCAGGTGATGTAGCTCTTTTACCATCCTTGAGAGAAGTGGTAATTGAGGCAGGAGCATTGTTAATTCTTGTCGGGGGATAAGCCACATGCATAGAATCTTTATATGAGCCCTTATTTGAAGGAATCCATCGAGAGACTGCGTTAGGATTAGCCATTCTTACATTAGGACCCTGAGTTTCTTGCTGCTTAGACTTCGGTTTAAGTGAATCTCCAGCCAGTTTTGCATTTGCTCCGACCTGTTTCCTTAGTGTAGCTTGTGTTTTTTCGGATATGGGTTTGTTGAGACTAGTACTTGTTTTCTGACTCATAGATTCCAAATCATTGCTTTCCTCATCACCTTTGCATTGAGTCTCTACTGTTCTAGAATCATTTTCCTTTGCTTCCATGGTTCTTCTCTTTCGCTGCTCATCACCATCATCTATTCCTATATCCTTCACTGAGTCGATATTAGAATCTGCCTTCCCATCCGATCTATACTGTACATCATCCACAGTGATATCTTTGACTGGATCCGTGCTAGTCTCTGCATGCATATCATGTTTATGATTTGAATCATCTGATGCACAATCTAGAAACGCATTGGGTTCCACATCCCCCTTCCACACCTCTTTACCCTCAGAATCATCTGAAGCAGTATCAACAACCACAAAACTATCCGAGTCTCTCTTATGGTCAGGTCCATCAATCACATCGCTAAAGATCTCCTCCACCTCAAAAAATTCTTCAGGTGAAGTAATATCAAAATCATTCTCATCATCTGATATTGTAGAAGTTGTAATAGGAGGCACCACGGCATCAGCGCCAGAGAAAAGTACCTGATACATATATGAGTATGCATTCAAACTTAACAGTCTTATTCAATAGGTGATCAGAGAAAATTTTACAACGGCCTACCTCTGCCTTAAATTCCTTTGGGAACTGGTCCTTGACATCCCAAAGTATGTCCATCTCATCGCGTTGGAGCATTAAAATATTAGCTCGCACAAAAGCCGTGTGGAACATGATTCTGAAAACTATCTCCTCGCTCACCAAATCATCATGCAAATGTATACATTCCAGTACAACATCCCCTTGAACGCGGCACTGTATATCTAATTTCACCAGGATACACTCTTCCTGCAGATGAGATCACAAATTTGCGCATATTTCTTCAGTAGAGAAGCATTTAACTGGTACAATAAATTACCAAAAAAAACTCACAAAACTATAATCTATCCCTTACTGATATTTTTAATCCGCACAAGACAGTGTGATGATTACAATGGTCGGGAAAGTACCTGTTGGTAGAGACGAGTGTGTTTCTTTGTCTTTAGTGTGGAGAAGAGAAGTATGGAACTCCTGTTGGTTCGGGCTTTAGGGTCCTGCCCATAAACCCGTAAAATTGGTCTGCAACCTTTTCTCCCTTCAAAATGTGGGAGATCTCTGAGAATCAAGCAGTCCAAAAGAAGAGGTGTGTCCGAAGGAGGCCAATCAGAGCCTAAATTTCTTCTAGAAATGTACTGAAGATATCTGAGTTGAGAAGGCTGTGGGTTTAGAGGAGACAATAGATGAAGAAGCTCCTTAGGAGCCTGTTTGTGTACCATCTCAAGAGTCTTCTGCTCGCCATGATACTGCTTTCTGTACAATAAAAGCCCCGATAACATAAAAGCAAGAACAGGCCAACCACCTCTTTCACAATGCATCAACAGTACATTTTGTTGACCTTCCAAGGATAACCAGCTTTCACTCGATCTTAGAAAGTGATGGATCATCTCGAGAGGTAAAAGCGGACAACTCTCATACTGCCGTGGATAATCCATTACCGTCATATCGTATTGGGACAACACGTCTGATATTTGACTCCGCTGTTCCCCCTCTCTAAAGTTAAACACCATGAAAGATGCATCTGGGAAATGGTCCTGTAGCTGCGCCACGATGCCACCCAAGTATACTTTGTACTCATCCTCCCCCATAACATCGCTAGAGAAACAGCAGTCAAAAACTGCAAAGAAGAAGAAAAAAACAAGAGAAGTTTATGAGATCATCAGCTCTGAAACCTTGAACTACTCCAGCAAAATATAAGTTACTAGAAAATGGAAACACAAATCTCCAAGCTCTGAAAAATTTATCACTATCCGCGAGTGCAATCCAGAAGCTGAAATAAACTCTTTTTCCAAAGAACTATCATCGTCGAACATTAAAGGAAACAATAGAATATCCCACAAAGCTATAAATTGTCTTCAAAGAGATTCTGATTCCTAAACCTCTTTAAGCTCAAATAGGCATCCATTTGCAAAGCTATACTCAAATTCTCATCCCAATCAAACTGCCAAAAACCCACCACCCTCCAGAAGCTCGTAGCAATTTTGATCACATGCCCATATATCATCAATTACAAGAACAAATCCGGCAACAAGTTCATCTTTTTATAGATGCTTTGAACCTAGAAACAGAGGAAAAGGGAGGAGTTATTACCATAGACACGCTCGGAGATCTCGAGAAGCCGATCCGGAGGCTTTTTGTAGAAGAAGCGACGGAACAGCGCCATGGGATGGCGCTGTCTCTCCCCCGATCAGATCCAAACCGTCGATTTAGTAAACCAACAAGCAGATCATTCTCGATTGCTCCAATTCCGTTGACCTAAACCCCAGATCCCCTTTCTTCTCCCAAAATTCAGGTCACAAACCCTAATTTCTCACCCCTAGCAAAAAAAGTTGACAAATTTCGCAAAATTACAAGAGCGTGATAAAGACCCAATCCCCAGAAATTCCTTATCTCCCTCTCTCTATCCACCAATAATCCAATTTTGGAAACAACAACGCAAGTCGTAATCACAACGCCAAACCCCAAAGTTGAGAATTTTTCAAAATAGTTTTGTTCCAAATGACTCGATCTCTATGTACAATGTCGAATCTTCTCTCAATCGTGGGAACAAAGAATCTTCGAAGCTAATCAAAAAGTTGTTAAAAATAAAAATAAAGAGAGATAGAGAGAGAAGGAAGTGACAGTGAGATGAAGAATTTCAGGTGAAAAAAGGAGAAAGATTGGAGCAGAAATGAAAAAAAAGATCGAAGAAACCAGATTTCGACAAATCTTCCAGCAGTTTTTTATGTTTTGTCAAAAAAATTATTAATATTTTTTTATTGACAAAAGGGTTTATTCATATTTTTAGAGGTATTTAATAATAGCAAACAAAAAGCTTTTTTGATTTTCCATAGTTGCGTAATTGAAATTGAACTCTACGGAACGAACGTAAGCGTAGTGGACTTTAGAGAAAGAGCGAGACTTGGTTCAGACACACGACCAGACCCTTCTCTGTCTAACATCTAGGAGGTGTTGTCTAAGCCTACGTGGAAACGTAAAAAACTATATTTATAATTACAACCACGTTTTTTTTACGATCAACTTGTGAATTTCCCATCTGTCGAAACACGTTATTATTGATTTAAAATAAGTCACTGCAAACATCATTAAGTAATCCCCAATTGCCATTATTATATCACATTTACAGTAGTATATAATTGAATCGGTATTAGTAACCCTTAACATTCATGTCTGGTTGCTATTTTTTCATGATGTAAAACTTTAATAAAGGAGTGGGGAATGTCTGTGTCTTACGAGACCATATTTTTTTACCAGTCAGTCTCGTTTTAATCAGCCGAGACCTACATATTAAAGGTTGGGCTTAATTTTAACGGCCCATTGATGACTTACGGAGTCACGTGACCTTCGCCTTATGGGGTTCTTTGACTTTTGTTCATTTCATTCCTTGGCCAGTTTGGTCTCTCTTCGTCGACTCTTTTCCTGACTTGGTGGTTTTGGGTAGATGATGAATCCGTCAATAAATATGCCGAGATTTTTTTTATTATTCAAAGAATGGATCAGACAGTACTCGGTCTTGTCTTTTCGTCCCTCGAATTTTGGACAAGTCTTTTCCCCAAAGTCAACTGTGCTGCGATTGATCATTCTCTTATATTTTCTGGGAATTCTTTTTCCATCATTGTTTGCTCTGAATTAGATTTATTCGATTGATATCAGTTTGTTGTTATATATCTACTAAATCGTCTGTTTGGTTCCTGATCCAATGTCGCTTGTCGAGGTCTCTGGCGCTGATGCCGTGGTGGCACCTATGCGTGGAAGAGTACCAACTCCACCACCACCTCCTCCTAAGCGTAGAAGACCACCACCGCCACCACCTCCTCCTCCTCCTATGCGTAGAAGAGTACAACCGCCACCACCACCACCTCCACCTCCACCTCCACCTCCTAAGGGTGCTGGACGAGTTCGTTGTTTTCTAATTCCTCTAGGTCAAAATAAGTCTTATCAGAAGAGGACCTCGCTGAGAAGCTTATGGGTCGAGTTAGAGGGACAAGGAGAAGCACAAACGTATTTAGACTAACTTTTTTAAGTTTGCATTCCTTTTTTCTTTTGCACCAGGCAGATAAATTCCTGAGTTTTTTTATTGACAATTATATCCTTCTTCTTCTTTTTTTTTTTTTTTTTTTTTATAGTGCACCAGAATTTGATGTATCAGAAATAGAGGCCCTTATCTCTGCTGCTGCAGTACAAAACCCGGCTGATATATCTGCAAGTCGACGAGAAGCTTTTGAGGTAAAACCCGATAAACTTCAAATGGTAATGTGAAATTAAAATTCTTCTTAACATTTGGTTATTGTCAGATATTTTAATTTGCTGGAGACTCTGGTCATGTAGCTATAAACAAGTGACTGAAAAGCATGTTATGATTTGTCAGAAATCTGAGTAATTGTACTAAGAATGTCTCTATAAGCATATGTTATTAATTTGAAATTGACAATACTCTGTCTTGTCGTCTGTTCAAAGTCTTTTGCACAAAGTCAACTGTGCTTTCACAAGTCTATGCGATTGATCATTCTCTTCTATTTCTGGGAAATGTTGTTCTAAATTAGTGTTATTTGATCTAAATCGGTGAAGAAATCTGTTTGTTGTTAAATATACTAAATCGTCTGTTTGGTTCTTGATCCAATGTCGATTGTCTAGATCTCTGGCGCTGATGCTGTGGTGGCGCCTATGCGTGGAAGAGTACAACTTCCACCACCACCTCCTCCTCCCCCTCCTCCTATGCGTAGAAGAGTACCACTGCCACCACCCCCTCCTCCTATGCCTAGAGAAACGCCACTGCCACCACGTCCTCTGATATGTGTAGGAGCCCCCTCACCTCCTCCTCCACCCCCACTTCCACTTCCTGCTAAAAAAAAGTCCACGCCACTGCTACCACGTCTTCTGATATGTGTAGGATCCCCACCTCCTCCTCCACCCCCACTTCCACTTCCTGCTAAACAAAAGTCCTCCCTGAAGCGATTACACTGGGTCAAACTGGCAAGGGTTTTGCCGGGGAGCGTTTGGGATGAGTTACAGAGACGACAAGAATGCCGCAATATCAAAGATGAACAGATTCTCTGGTAATCCCCTGAAGAAACAAAATTTCAATGGAGTGAAGAAGGAAGAATTAAAGTGCACATATCATTGACCATTGCTTTGCAACTAATCATCATTTTTTTTTCTTTTTTGCTAGTGCAATAGAACTTGATGTATCAGAAATAAAGACCCTTTTCTCTCTTGTGGCTAAACCAAAACCTGAAAAAAAGCCACTGGTAAAGTGAAATATTCCTAACACAATTGGTTATTGTCAGATATGTTAACTTGCTCTGTTCTGGTGGAGACTTTTGTCATAAACGAGTGACTTTTTGAAGAGTTGTTTTCTTATATATGGCTTTCAAGATTGACCTTAGGAGAGCCACTGACGTGGAAATTAGGCTAATGTTATTAAATACTCAGCTGCCTGATATGATGGTAAGCACCAAAACTTACTTTACTAGAGTACAAGTCATTTACTGGTTAATGTTTTAATGATAATTTGTTCACATTATTCTTTGCATCATCAAGGCTGCAGTTCTTGCAATGGATGATGAGTCTGTACTAGATGTTGATCAAATAGAGGATCTTATAAACCTTTTCCCAACCAAGGAGGATATAGAGCTTCTTAAGGTTACCTCTTGACTTTTGAGTAGCATTGTTATCTACTTCTGTCTTTATTTTGGAAATCATTTTGTGAAATATATCAATTCTTCACTTTTTATTGACACGAGTTCTTGTTCTTGGTCATAATAGACCTACACTGATGACAAGGGGACCTTGGGAAAGTGGGAGCAGGTCTGTTGAAGTCTTGAGATTATCAATCTTGCATTGTTTTTGGTTCCTACAATAAATATGGATAGTAACTAGCTTACTCAGTTAATTCATTTCCTTCTGTCATCGGTTTTGCTATCGCAGTACGTCCAAGAGCTAACGAAGGTGCCACGACTAGAATCAAAGCTGAGAGTATTTTCCTTCAAGATTCAATTTGCCACTCAGGTCCGGTGGTAATACCTATAAATAGAGTTATGATCTGTCTATCTGGTTATTTGGAGGAAATAAAGATTTGGTTTCATCAGTGCCTAAGTGAATGTAGATTCTTGATCCTTTTTTTCTTATGATGATTACTTTGCAGATAACAGAACTCAAAAAAGTTTTAAATGCGATAAATTCTGCATGTGAGGAGGTAAGATTTTTGCAATAATCATTAACTCTTAAGTTTTTTTGCAGTCCATTTGCGTTTCTCTTTCTCAGACTTTTTCTTCTCATTTCTTGTTCATCAGGTTCGTACTTCAGAAAAGCTAAAAGAGATTATGAAAACTATTCTCTGCCTGGGGAACATATTGAACCAAGGAACTGCCAAGGGTGAGTATCATATTATTTTAAGCTTAAGATATTTCCTAACGCAACACAAAAAAAAAAATGTGGTTGATAAAGACCCTTTGCTCTGCTTTCTGCAGGAAGTGCCGTGGGATTCAAGTTGGATAGTTTATTGAAATTAAGCGACACACGTGCTTCTAACAGCAACATGACTCTCATGCATTATCTTTGCAAGGTAAACTACAATCGAAAGAAAGAAGCATGCAGCATCTATTTTAATGAGTGGGCTTGTTTTAGAAATCCTCTTTTCTTTTTCCAGGTCCTTGCTTCCAAGGCATCAGATCTACTAGACTTCCATAAGGATCTTGAAAGTCTGGAATCAGCTTCAAAGGTTTGCGAGTTTGTACGTACCTACTTTTTCCGTTCTTAGCTCATCATTTGGCTGTCCTGTCTATTTCAGATACAATTGAAGTCTCTGGCTGAGGAAATACAAGCTATAATCAAAGGATTGGAAAAACTGAACCAGGAGCTCACTGCATCCGAAAGTGATGGTCCTGTTTCTCAAGTTTTCCGTAAAGTATGTTGTTTTTCTATCTTCTAGATCTTTTGCATATCTTTTATCAATCATAAATTTGAGATTAGGTCCATGACTCTGCCACATAACTAAATCTTCCATCATTTTGTAAAATCAATATATACCAGCCAGAAATAGTTCTTCAGCTAGGTTTGTTTATCTACTTAACTTCTTCCGGATGCTAAAATCTAGTTTGATGTTCGACAGTTATTGAAGGACTTCATAATCATTGCTGAGACTCAAGTAGAAACTGTATCGATTCTTTACTCCGTCGTGGTAACTTTTGTCAACCTCTTACTACTAGATTCCAAGTGCCTTACCTTTGACAATGTGTTTGATCCCGAAATGATTTTTGTTATTGTTTCTTGTGATGGACGACAGGGAAGAAACGCTGATGCACTTGCACACTATTTTGGCGAGGATCCTAAACATTATCCATTTGACAAAGGTATGCCTCGGAAACAATAAACTAGTCCATCCTCATTTTTTGTGCTCGTACATTAGAAAGTGGCTAGCTAGCTCATTGTTATTATGTAGCTAATAACAATTAATACATGGTGATCGATATTGCTGCAGTTACCGCGACTCTCTTGAGTTTTATAAGGTTGTTTAAGAAAGCACACGAAGAGAATATCAAGCAAGCGGAGTTGGAGAAGAAGAAAGCTGCAAAGGAGAAGACGAAGTTTATATAACTAAAAAAGAGCAGCGGAGTTTATATAACTGACTATAGTGTGGTAACTCAGATATTTTGTGTTGATATAAACAAGTTATGTAAATATTTTCACTGCTTGGTGTTGTTAAAATGTGTGGGTTGCAAAAAAAAAAAAAGAAAAAGAAAAAAGATTGTTGAAATTTGCATTAAAAAATGATGTCAGTGCTTGTAACAATTTTCATAAATGAGGAAGTATCGATTGCATCAATTAAAATATTTGATACTAATCGTTGCTCGAACTTGGGACTCTGAACAACAGAAGTCCTCCTCCCAAGTCAGCAACCGTTATTTTATGTGTGGACCGTTCGACAATGTTTTTTCTTTACTAAATTGGCCCATTTAAAAGGCCTTCCAAGAGTCAACCGGTTCGACCGGATGGTTTGTCTTATAAAATTTGATTTTAATTCTTTCCAATAAATAAGGATTTGGTTTGCTGGATCTGTAAATTTTTCACTTTTTCTAATGTACGAAATATGATAAAATCATAAAAGAGAATAATTTTCTCTGACTTGGGGAAAAGTAAGGAGATATTAAATGTAAGAAAAGGACAAGAGGAAGAAGAAGAAGAATCAGAGAGAGGCGAAAAAGTAGTATTTTTTTTTTTTTCTTTTTTTCTAAGAGTGGTCTTTTCTCACACAGGTCTCTGTCTAAGTTTTCTGATAAAATTCTCCATATTCCTGCGACCCAGTCTCTTTCTTCTCCAAAGATAATGGCCCAGCAGATCTCGGATACGCACTTCTTTCTTCATCGACATTGATAAACAAAAACATTTTTGAAAAAAGATATTATAGATCCCTGTTCTTTTGGTGGTGATATATCCCACTTTCTCTTTTTTGCATTTTCCCGATAAAATAAAAAGAAGCTTTTTTTCCAAGACAGCAGCTTCCTCAAGCAAAAAGAAAGAAGCTTTTAGTTAAAATCTCAGAATTTTGGTTATTCTTCGGATTTTAAAAAACTGTTCCTTTTTTCTAAAGGTAGATCCTTTCTCTCGTTTTGATTTTTAATCACTTTGCTGATGCTCGTAAGGTTTCTGGGGTTCTTCTTCGGCAGATTTTTTGTTCTGCTTTCTTTCTTTTTTCTTATAGAATCTAAAATCTGTATTTTCTTTCATGTTCTTCTAGGAATCTAGCTCAAAGTTTCATCTTTTGCTTCATTCTAGGTCTTTAATGTTTTGTTTTAATACCTTCCTTGCTGCTTTAGAACCCACTTGTGAAAAAAGTGTTGTTAGTAGTCTTTGAGATCTTATCTTAAACCTCATCTTCCACATTTGCAAATTTTGTTAGAGAAAAAATAAAAGCAGATTTGATGATGCCTTGTGGGTTTTGCTTTTTTTTTTTTTAATGAATTGTTTTGGTTCATGCAAGTTTATAAGATTGATTCAGGTTTCTTTCTTGGTGCAGAGTGTGAAAGTGAATGAAGAATGCAGCAGAACAGCTTTTTCCTTGGGTCAAACCGTGATACTACGGATGCGAGAACTGGCTGGAGTTTGTGTCCTATACAGGACATTGATACGAATAGATACGGCGTTAACGTGAATCTTAATGATACATTCTCTTTCTTGTATAGTGATCTTTATCTTAGACAAGTGAAGGAAGCATTGAGACAAACCATGCTTTTACATGAATCTGTCTTTGAAAGTCAGGTGCGTTTTCTTTGTAATGCTTCATCTTTGTTGTTTCTTGTTTCCTCCAAGTTAAGAGTTTGATACATTTTCATTTCAGATCTATGAGCTTCATCGTCTGTATCGGAAGCAGAAGGAACTGATGATTGAAATGGAGGAAACTCGGCATCATAAGGCCTTGTACTTAAATTCTGGTTTGCATATCCCTAGGACACACTGGATGAGTTCGAGCATTTCCGCGTATCAAACTAGGAATTTGCCTCATGAAGAAGAAGACATTCCTAGACTTGTTGTAGATAACAAGGTTGACAAGTTTGAAAAGAAGGTCTTGGATCTTGAAGTACCGGTTTTTGAGTATAATGATATGCTTGGAGAAGTTCATGAAGCTCAAAACTTTTTGGAAGAGCAATCTCTGAAAAGGATGTCTCTTGATTCGGGTAAGCAGTTGAGTAAGCTACTACTTGATTTGAATGAACCGGCCAAGATCGAGGAACATTCAGATTATGTGTTCAATCAGTTCCTAAGTACAGTTACATCAAATGAAATTGAAGAAGAGTCTGATACAAAGAATGAGGGAGAAAGTTTAGTAGAAGGTTCCAACGGGATGGATGAAGCGCAAGAATCTGTCAAATGTCGAGAAGGTAAGAAAATGGAAGTATATGTTTACATATATGTTTCTTCTTTTGTTACACTTTCTTGATGTATTGAATGAAGCCTAATTGTTCTGGTATTTATTTTGAGCAGAGTACGGAATTGACTTGAATATGTCTCCCCTTTCATTCGTAGAAGAAATAACTATTGTTAAGAAGTTTGAAACCGAGAAACCTCGAGGGTCTTCTTCAGTTTCATTGCATGGAAAGCACGGTTCAGAGCAGCCGCGAGTGGTTGTCCAAGCGCTACCATGTTTAACTAGCACTTTACTTTTGGACAAGCGATATAAGTCATTGATGAGAGGCTCAAGGTTAAGGAAGAAGGTAAAACGTTGTCCAAGCAAGATAACCTTCAAAGGCTCAGATCATGACCCGCAATCGAGTGCTCAAGCCACCTCAGAATCTCAAAGCAATCAAACGAGTATGGAGAAAGGGAGTTCAAGTTCTTTGTCTGAGGCAAAATCTGCAAAAAAGGGGACTAATCTAGGAAAGAAAAGGCATTGTAAACCACAAATGAAATCCAGTAAGGGTCAAAAGGTAGTCGCGAAAAGGAGTGGAAGAGTTAAACGGAAGAAGAGCAGAAGGATATCTCTAGTTACAGAGGGAAATTATCAAGAAGTATCTGCAGCTGAGGCCATAGTTGATATGTCTAGAAAGTGTGGTCGAGAAACGGCTGATTGTATCACTTCTTTAAGCAGAAATCTACTTTGGTTCGCCGAGATTTCTTCTTCTGTTGCTGAGGACTACAAAACAGAATTTTTGGAGCTGACAGAGAAGAAGCTAGAGGAGCAGGAGACAGATCTGAGATTGAACTCTTTAGACAACATAGCAGCAGTCTCCAGCATTGTCCTTAAAAAGCAGAGGAGAAGCCGAGCCAGGCAGGGGAAGCGGAAATGCAAAGATGACCAGCACCATGATAACCCGAGTTTAGGAACATTTTCAGAATGTGAAGCCAATGAGGATCTGCAGGTAATAGAAAAGCTAATTGAAGCGTCTGAATTAAAATGGAATTGTGGGTTCCCCAAGAACAAGCGCAAAAGCTCTCCTCCTAAACCAATAGATGCTTTCACTTCCTTGGGGGAAGCAAAAACGGGCGTTGACTGGGGAGCCATAAAAAAGCGAAGACGAGGCTCTAGAATACCTGCTGCTGATTTTAAGCATATGATCATCAACCAAGTAGTATAGCCAAACTAAAGATGTAATTTACATTACTTACCATAGTTTGCTTCATGTTTTTTCGGAGAATCAAGAATCTTACGGAAGATGATGCTTTTTGTAACAAGTCTTGTTCTAGATATGAAGACTACATAGGAGATATTAAACTGTTAGAATATCAGTTCATCAAAAGGCAATGAATCTGTTTTAAACTGGAGATGGTACTGAAGAAGTTATACTGCATATGTAAGCAAATGCAAAACAAAGTTAAAAGCTAGTTACAACATCAGAGATTAAAAGAGCGCAAGATTTCTCTCATGAACCATCATTATCAGTCTTCTACACATTACCATGACCATGGCCATTGTGTTTTTAATTAATGATTTTAAGCTTTAGTTTTTACCTCAAAATATATTATGGTTTCTGATTTTTGAGGAGAATGTTTAGAACCATATTGATGTCTTTTTAAAATAGAGATTTCCATTGATTTTGGTTATGACACTGTATTATAATGAATGAAACAAATGTATGGATATAAATATCAACCAGAAACATAGGCAGACCAACCTAAAAAAAAAAAAAGAAACAACAGACAAACAAATGTATAAATGTATGGATATTATCAAGAATTGAGGTTTGTAAAATGAGAGCTTTGAAGAGCTTCTTGTAGGAGTTCATGATCATCCCAAGAATCACGATAAGTCTCAAGATTTTCCTGTGAATTATTGAGAGCAGACAAACATAGTAGCTTTCTCCATTCTTCCAAATGCGGAAACCCAACATAATCCGCATATTTATCGCAATACTATAAGCAAATAGATTCAAACACAAAAAAAGTGTTAGTAGGGCAGCAAAATCAAGAGTAAAATAAATGTTGAAATTTTTGTGAGGAAGGTATAAATAATAGTTACCGTGAAATCAGCAATGTCGTGAGTGTTGTGTTTAGGGACTCCAGCGAGATCTCTTGACCGGTAAAATTCAGCAACGGATTGTAACATTTGGTCAGAAGAAGGTAGAAATGACTTTCCTGACAAAACTTGTGCTATCCATTTTGCTTGTGCTTCAAAGAATGGGAATCCTATCAACTGCAAAATACCAAAAAAAATTTGTTAATTTTTGTTTAGAGAAAGACTAATGATGTTTAGGTTAAAACCGAAAGATAAAAATAAAGGACGACCTTTCTGGGGATACCGACAAAGGAGAGAGAAGGGGAGAGACAAGGAGGGAAAGTGTGTTCGAAGAGTGGACCAACTCTATCATCATCCACTTCTATTCTTCCTTTACTCTCAAGAAATGGAAACTTGTACGAGTACCTGTGTTTTGGTCCCCCAACATATACATTATTACTAAAGTAATAAACAAAATATACATTTTGAAAGATCTAAAAACATATGACAGAAGTTGATTATTATTTTTTGTACAGTATGATGGCCCCAAGAACTAGGGGAAATGAATTGAGTCGACCAATGTAAAAAAGATTTGTAGCCCACTCATTCTGGCTTTTACGATTCCCACTTTTTTTTTTTTTTTTGTTAAGAATAGTATTTTTGTATAAATAACTATGTACTAGTATTTTTGTTCGACCGAAAGATTTCCATCGATATGATTTTCTAGAATATGAATATCTAAGTTAAGCAATGTCATGCAGATCCCAATGATTTATTATTTCTTTTCCTGTTCTTTTTTCCTTACATGAAACAAGACCACAATACCCCACAGAGCCACAACACAATTAATTAAATTTAACTTAACTAATTACGGTTTAACACTATCTGAGAAACT